AAAGTCCCCCAAATTAAGGGATCTTATTTCCAAAAATACACATGTTTCAGATACCCTTACCAAAACTAAACCCCATTGCATTAAATTGCTTTGACAGATTCCCCTAGATACCCTGAGCACCTAGCCACCTCCCCCTGCCATGGCCGGCTGGCCTAGTCGCTGGAGAAGCTCAAAATTGAGAGCCACCCCCATGTAACTTCACCCAAATCAAACCTAGAGGCCAGCTCAGACAAATTAAATTGTAGAGCTCCTCTGCCCTCCATATAAGCAACGCAATGCACCCCCTAATTGGCCATGACAGCCACCCCTTAGCTATTTTTATAAAAGCCACCTCCCACGGCCATGGCAAGGGATAAAAATTTCTTAGAGAGACCTCCCCAAACTGACCACAGAGCTTCCCTAAAATCCCTTCAATGCATCCCAACTACTTTCCCTCACCAATTTCCACTATCAGAGTTCAATTTTGTGCTCGAAACCTTGTCAAAAATCAGGACAGAGCTCATTACACCTCCACACTCCACCAAACTCAAATTAACTCTACCCACACCTTCACAACATTGAAAGAAGTCAAAGCCCCATAAAATCCCACTTCCACAGAGCCTCTACCATAGCTCTAGATCAACACCCAAATTTGGTCGTGATCAAATTCCTACTTAGGCCTTACACCACAACAAGTGGCTTAATCCCTAGCCTCTTTGGACCCTAACAAACATGCCAAGAGCCGGAAATAAAGACACAGCCCAATACATCTCCATAGTCCACCAAACTCAAATTAACTTCACTCAAACCTTCACAACAGTGAAAGAAGCTTAAGCCTCATCAAATTCCTCTCTCACAGAGCCTCCTAAAAAAAATTCATTCAATTTGGATAAGAAATGAGAGAGATCTTAAGGCTAGAAGATGGAAGGTTCTCGGGCTAAGGAAGATCACAGGATCACTTTATCGGGGATAATGATGGGGAGTCATTCAATCGCGCGTGTATCGGATGGACGGTCGAGATGAAGCCGGACAGCGCTTCGGAACATAAATCGGGGGCCGAGTCAATGCTGAGGTGGACGGCAGCGTTAAATGGGAGCGTGCCACGTGGAGCTTCGGAGCCGCCATAGGTTGATGTGGCGCCGCGCGTTTAAATAGATAAATATGAATTTAAAACATCAGAAAATGACCCTTTACTGACATGCCTCTTTGTGAAAATTTTATTTTATTTTTTTATGGTGTACAAAAATCACAAAAATAAAATAAAAATAATTAATCTGGAGTCCATTTTATGCATATTTTACTTTTAATTAATTAAACTCTGATTTGGATGTTTTGATTCTCCATGCATGTAATGATATCACCATGGCTTGAAACATTAGCATGTTGTTGCCTCTGTCTTAGGGAACATTCCCTGATTTTTTCCAAAGTCAAGGGAGGTCCCTAGATAGAGAATCATATTTTTCAAGTTTATGTGCATTATTTGCTTAAAATAATCATTTAAATTAGCATGTTGCTTAGAAAAATTCAAGAAAAATTTGGAAGGTTTATGATGACTAGAGAGCCTTTGGGAAAATTTCTCATGAGCCAAGTCATTCAAAATACACCTAATCTTCCTAAATCACTAAGATAATTAATTTTGAAAAATTCAAACAACAAAATGAGTTGATTTTTTATCTTCACTGTTATTTAGGATCCAAAAAACTCACCATAAAAATTTCAAAGCATTTTGAGTTCATTTGGTAATTAGGTTAATATTTAAAGATAAATAATATTTTTGGCACTTAAATGAATTTTAAAAATCAAAACATAACCCAAAAATTTATAAAAACTTATTTTTTGAGTTCTCTGTGATCAGAGGTATTTTCTAAAAATAAAATAGAGTTTAAAATAAAAACTTGATTTTAAACCTATGTTAAATATTTAAATAATTAAAATTCCATAAAAGTCACAAAAATAATAAAATTCATGGAAATGTTCTAAATTGCTTCCTAAGCACTTACAAACAATTAAGATTTTTTTTCCTGATTTTCTAAATAAAGATATTGAATTTCAAAACTTAAAAATATTTTTTAAAGGCTAAAAATGGATTTTCACTAAAACAATTTCAATAAATCAAATAAAACTCAGAAAAACATAAAATTTACTCCTCTGAGTTCTTTGACCTCAGAGAATATTTTCAAAAATATAAAACTTAATTTTTTTCAATTAAAATATTTCATATTTAATAAATACCCTAGAAATTAAAATAATTCTTAAAATTCAAACAATCATGAAATTTGGCTCAAAGACTTCTCTGGTCTAGGTCTACCTCCAGTAAAAATTTCAAGAAATTAGGATTTACCTTTGTCAAGTTAGGAATTTTCTTTGAAAAATCCTATTTTTGCATAAAAATAATTATATAAATTAAATTAATTTTTCAAAAATCACATTTTCTCCTCTGATGTCTTAATTGACCCATGAATGAGGTATGATAAGAATATCAAAGTCATTTGGATTAAATTTGATAAATTATGAAATGTTAAAGCCTTAGGGGCAAATACGTAATTTTCGAAATTTAGCCTTAATTAACATTTAGGCTTAATTTAAAGAGGGAAATGGGTAACCTATGACCTTAATTTGGATGTTTGAAACACAAGAGGTTAATTGGTAGTAACCAACTTAGTAGAAACCAACCTCACTTTCTTAATTGAAAAGATAAGTTAATAAATTTCTAAATTATAAAAATTTGGAAGTTTATTAAAATAAAATGAGCCCAGGACTTAGGGGTACGGCTTTTGAAGTCAATAATTAATCAATTTAATACCCTTATTTTGATTTTGAAATAAAATTCAAATCATAATTTATGACCACCTCAAGCTTAATCTTTTCAAAACTAACTAAGACACTCACCTAGGTCTTAAGGGCTTAATAGTGACTTAGGCTAAATCAAGTTTCATTTAAACGAGGATTAGAGGAGTAAATATCAATTAAAACTAAGACGTCTTTAAAACACTACAAGCCCAAGTCAAAATTTGGCTAAGTGTTCCAATAACACTAACTTGCCTCCTTAAGGGACTTCACCCACATAATCTTCAAAATTAAATTACAAATGATAATTACATTG